GAGGGTGTGTCGTGAGGGGAGGGTGTGTCGTGAGGGGAGGGTGTGTCGTGAGGGAGGGTGTTTTGTGCGGAAGGATGTGTCGTGATGAAGCAGGTGTCATGTCACAAGTTTGCAGCACGATTTTTTGTTCCCGATTTTTGAGCGCCTTGCTGCACTTAAAATAGATTTTTCGTACATCGATGAAAACTTTGATGCATACCTCGGTCTGCTACGATATCCTTCCTACACAGCTCATTGTAATCACGAACCAATTCAACCCATCACTGGCAACGATACAGTCGAGCTGGTCCATGGACATAGTTGCTACTAGAGTGGTATCGCTTATATTTTATTACTGTGAGTGTATCAATATATAAATACGTAGATTATCTGATGTTCATTAGGCTCATATGCTGGTTATTGTAATTAAGGTGGCGGTGGCCTTTAGCGCTCCAAACGGTGTTTATGGCGGTCATCTATCGGTCATTCTTTCCTATACAGTAGGATTTTGTGCACCATTGGTTTATTATTAACACCTCCAGCATTTTTATATGTTGAATGCGCGTGAATGTCACTAGCACGCGTAGGCTACGATAAAGATACGAGGGCAGAGAGTGCAAGTAAGATACGAAGAAGATACGAGGGCAGAGAGTGCAAGTAAGCTACGATAAAGATACGAGGACAGAGAGCGCAAGTAAGATATGATAAAGATACGAGGACAGAGAGCGCAAGTAAGATATGATAAAGATACGATGGCAGAGATCGGACGAAATTGCGCTTGGTGGAATCTGATACAAGACTGAATGGCAAAGCTTGTCAGCCTTACATGTCTTGCTAAGGACAACACTATAGTTCTAGTAGAGATGTTAACAGCATAAATAGTTCTAGTAGAGATGTTAACAGCATAAATATAAAGTCTATCCTAATTAGTGAAGAAACGCATAGGGAAGAGCCAAGCCTGTTAGAAGCCTTGCGACCTTCAACCAGGGTCGCCTAACGTCTGAAAGGAGATTGTCATTCACATTTTTCAATGATTCGGATCAACGGGATAAAAAATTGTACGACACTTCTGGCAATTAAAAAAAGCGAAAGGAGATGTTTTGAGAAAAAAATCAATGAATGAGGAGTAATATATAGAATATTGGATGAAATTGAACTCGACATCTTCTTTATTGAAGTCGCTGCCATGGTCTGCTCGTGCTTGTAGGATAAGACAAAACATCAAGCGGCTGACGACTACTGAAAGAAAGTATACATTTTAAAGAAATAAACTGCAGCAATTGATGTTCCAATTAATTGCAATGTTGAAGCAGTCAGAGGCTCGGCCCAAATATCCTGACATTTGTTTAATTCCAGAGTTAACTGTAAGAGTTCGTATATTCAAAATAGCATCCTGTAATTTCTAGGCTTAGGAATAAAAGTCGTCAGTTCCTATATAAACGACGTAACAATACTTGTTTGTAATCCAGCAGATGATTACTTCGGAAATTACTGACATAGTACTACATACAAGGCCCTATAGGAATGGAAGCAGTCGAATAATTACAAACACAGCGTTTATGATGACTTTTGACACTGGTTTCTGAAACGGAACCTCAAATAAAGATCATCATCATTCAGAATTTCCGTTCGAGATGCCTCATAAGTGAAATATATAGAGCGCGAAAGACATATTATAGGAAAGCATTCTTGATAAATGTTATGTACAAATGTGTGTCGTGAAATATAAAGAGCGCGAAAGACATATTATAAGTAAGCATTTTTTATATATGTTATGTATATCAATGTATGTCCCGACGACAGGTACAGCAGCAACAGCGGAGGCTCAGGCCTGGCAAGCAGCAGCAGCAGCAGTAGCGGCAGCACCGCCGCGGGGGGAGGAGTCAAGAAGGTGCGCAGGCGGGTGCCCACAATTGCACAGCGACGCGCCGCCAACATCAGAGAGCGCCGTAGGATGTTCAGTCTCAACGAAAGTTTCGATCAGTTGCGCAGGAAGGTGTGTAGCATCAAGGCTTCAGAAATTGAGTGCCCATGTCGTTTGTTCGATTTAATTACACGTTTTCAAGGTAAATAGAGACAGATTGTTAGAAAATTATTCCATTGAACAGCTCGAGTTGTATCTTTAGAAGTGGGAGTTGCAATCCAAAATACCAGCGTTTTGGCCACTGCAGATCACACCGACTGCAGGATATTCATGAGACGCTTCATGTACATATCATATACGAAGATATCTTGTATATACTAGTATATCATGTATATATGAGTATTTTATGAACGTATGTATATTCTCGTACATCATCGCGGCTCGATATCTCTTATTTATTCCTGCATTCGATCTCAGGTGCCAACTTTCGCATACGAGAAGCGCTTGTCCCGCATCGAGACCCTGAGGCTGGCCATCACTTACATCTCCTTCATGACAGAGTTGCTTGCTAGTGAAGAGGCAGCATCGGTCATTAGCACCACCACTGCACCATTACCTTCCCGCAGCAACAACAGCAGCACTAGCGGCATCAGCAGCCCAGATAACATCAACTGCTTCAGTAACGTCAACAGCAATAATAATAACATTTCCAGCAGCAAGAGTAACAACAGTATTGGTAGAGGTACACCTTGTAGTGGAACACCAGCAATATCTTCTTCTTCTATAAGCAGCAGTACAGAAAATAATGAGAACGATGCAGTGGCAGGACAGGTACGGAACTACACAGATTTGAACTGCCACAATAAACGCAGTACCCACGTTAACTTCATTTAAGTTCTCACGCAACCTTCTCCTCATTAGAAACTTCATATTACAAAAATACCTTAATTTTCACCTTATTTATTATGAAAATCTAAATACTCGACTATCATGTATTGTACTTGTATTAATTGTAATAGGGGCAATATTTTTGTCCCAGCAGAACAACATTTTCCAAAAATATCTCCAAATATATTGCTGGTTTAGGCTTGTTTGAGTGGTCTTGTGACTGGTAAATTTGCGTGTTACAAATGTGTTTTAATGCATATACATATTAATTGTGTATAAATTTCAATGATATATATGTACCATACAATTTTGTAGGGTAAAGAAATAGAGTTAAGAGAAGGGACCTGCATATCAATTTGTGTCTTCCGATTTCAATTGTAAACATAAGTAAGTTAGTTTGGAGAACACTCTTCATTAATTCTGTAATTTCTAGTCAACATAGTCCAAATATAGTAGAGATAAGCTCTTATGATATAGTATGATAAGCTCTTATTTACTGTACATTCTAATGCTGTAAGCTTCCAGTAAACCTATTAATAACTTCAAATTAGAGTTAATGTATTTTAATTTGTCTCTTTTCTTGAATAAATTTGGTGTTTGTCCAAGATTAAGGCAAGAATATCCATTTATGCAAACTTTTCAATATTCACAGGTATTTTCCCCAAAAATATGCTGCAGAATTTAAAGTTTGATTATATAAACAATGTATCCTTGAGTAGTTCCAGCTAAATAGGTAGTCTAAAAGAAACTTCCCACAAATCATTTCCATCCTTTGATTAACCATTCATCCCAAACATTGTCATTAGTGCAAGCCACTCTATAGTACTAGAAATTAACCATTTTATTCTAACATCACCTAATGAAAATCAAACCTAATTTAGAATGGTAAATTAAAGACTTCAAAAATTTTGATAGCTAAGTTTATGCTTTATAACATGTAAGATGAATGCTGATAATGAAAAAGACAACGTTGATTAGCTGTGAAATTTTATTTTGACACGTTTAGATCAATATTCTTGAGATCAGAAGCATGAAATTTCAATGTTTGTCTACATGTATCGGGACATATATGAGACTGCTTGATTTTTTAATGGATCCGCATTGCAATGTGAAGTAATGACAACGAGTATTATTGACAACTCTGTCTTGATTTTAAGAACTAAATGCATTTTCATTAAATACAAATATTGAAATCATATGTATACCGTATACAATATCGAGGCCAAGATTGCAACTTTCTTAACTCCATACAAATAGACTGCAATGTTGCAGCTTCACAATTATGTGAATTTAATTGATTTGTAAGTATTAAGCCAGCTCCAAATTCATGTATTTTATTTCAATCAGAAATCTTGTAGCTCATGAATACACCACCACAAAAATATGTAAAGTTCCCTCTTCTGTACCATGCTTCCACCAAATTGCAGATCAAAAAATGAACTTATGACTCACAATTTTGTTACAGGAGCAATATCCAGAAAGATCATACCCACAAAAATTGAATTTTGGCTTGTATAATAGATATTTTGCGTGCATTGTTGGCCCAGGGCCCCAGGCCCTAGTTGAGAACATGAATTTGTCTTGTAAAAACCCATTAACCTACAGTGGGTAATGGGCTTCCAATAGGTAATGCAATAATTGATCAGCTTAGTAGGCTTTTAGCTTGGTTTTGCAGGGGTCAAATATTGTAGGCATGGATTACAACCACTGCAGGGTTGCCACTGCAACCACAGCAGGGATATTTGCCACTGTAGGGTTAATTTCCAAGGTGCAAAATAACAATTGGGCCATTGGGCAGCCATGGACCATGCTCATGGCCTCATGCCATCATCATAATGCCAGAGCAGAGTTTTTTAGATTCTTCCTCACATTCAACAATGATTCTTATAAGTAGACTAGCATAGTATCATGGATATTAAATACCAGCCTTATCATACCTAGGATATTGGTTTAAATCTTGAGTAGTACCGTATATGAGAAAATTAAAAATTAACCAATTCTAGAAAATCCCTGGTTTGCAACTATGGCTGTAATTATGGTCATAGTAGAGAATGTTTAAACTCAGATTTACTGCATCATTAACATGAATATTTTTTTATTTAATTGTTTATCATAAATTTTCATGCTACAAAAAAAACTTTAAAGCTGCAAAGTCATTTAGGTATCCAGCTTTAACTAATACATCAAAATATATAATTATATTCCAAAAACCCAAGCCAAAATATTTTATTTATTGTGAATAAAATATCCATAATAATGTTGAGTTTAAACTCAACTGCTAGAACAACAGGGGTAGCTACATATTGTTGTTGTGTATATACTCATATTATAGTCATATAGGTATAATATATTTATTTACTGCATCATTAACATGAATATTTTTTTATTTAATTGTTTAGCATAAATTTTCATGCTACAAAAAAAAAAATTTGAAGCTGCAAAGTCATTTAGCTTTAGGTATCCAGCTTTAACTAATACATCAAAATATATAATTATATTCCAAGAACCCAAGCCAAAATATTCTATTTGTTGTGAATAAAATATCCATAATAATGTTAATATAAACTCAACTGCTAGTGCTAGAACAACAGGGGTATTGTTGTTGTGTATATATATACCTATATTTACTAGTACTACAATCAGTACAATGTATTCATACTTATTACTTAGTACTTACCACTAGTGAACAAAATGCTGAGAGCCTGGAGCCAGAAGCAAGTAAAGAAGCAGTTCAGCAAGTTAGGTACCTGAGCTGAGGATATTGTGAAATGTGCGTCTGTGTTCCTGATTTCAGCCTTTCAACAGTAATGAATAACAAACACCACCAGGCACCAGGAAATGCTCACAGTATATTAGTTGTTTGCAGCTTTGTAGCCTAGGCAGCACCGTATAAAGTAGTGGGCTACCCGCTAGTGGCAAACTCAGACTGACAGTGAAAAATTGAGCACCAATCTCACTGTCTAAGTCTGTCTTACACTACCGTAGCCGTAGGTCGTACTCGTAGGTCCGTAGCTTAGCTAACTCAATTAAGTATAAAATGTCACGGCATAGCACAAATAAAGCACCCACTGTAATAATTTTCTGCAAAATTCAATTCTACCACTGAACAAATGTACTTGTGATTAAATATAAACCTTGAATCAGGAGATCAGGCACCATGCATACTTGGATTTCCCCACGAACTACGAAGCAGTAAAAAAATTCCGATCGTCACGGACTCTCGGCGGCAGTGCCAGCTGAGAACTGAGCCTTGTAAAATGTAAACAAAGTCTAAAATTTGAATTCATTGGATCAAATATTTCATAGTGCCTTGATTTGGACATTTTTCTCAAACAGCTGTGATAATTTGATCCGTTACGGGGATGAAACAATTCTGTATAGAAACCATTCTTGTAAAAACTTAAATGATAAAAAATTTCAGTGCAATTTTCAGTCATATGTTTTTACAGCTACGATTATGAGTCAAACAGAAAAACTGTCATAACGTTTCAGTACCTTGGCGGTTTAAATCTTAATAGCGGTTAGCGGTTTCAGCGATTATTAGGCCGTAGGCCTGTCGCCGATTCTTAACATCGCAGAACATTCCCAGCTTGAAGCGGTCTTGAACTCACAACTCACTGCTCCAATTCTGCTGTGCTTAACCGCCCGGCCTCCTTGCCGATGCTGACCAGAAACTGGCGCACAGAGCTGGGATCGAACCCGCGCCTCTCTGCGCCAATCTTGGTAATCTGAACTTTTAACCACTGGGCCACCCTGCCCGCTTTAACCACTGGGCCACCCTGCCCGCAATGATCGTAAATTATTAGGAAAATAGAACTAAGTTCAACCCATCGAACAATACCATTTATTTAAAAAAACACACTCGGATAAATTTACTTATTATAACTGCGCAGTTTTGTTCTTTACACATAAGACGGAATTTACTGGGAATGATATTGCATTACCATGTATAATGTGATCATCAAAGTGATGAGTTAACTATAACCGTGAATCAAGAAACACAAGTAAATTCAAGTCGCATAAACTTCCGTCAGAATGAAACTTCATCACAGTATGCGAAAAAAATATTCAAAGAGTAAAAAAAACTTACATTGAAGTCAAGATTACCAAACAAACAACACAATCATCAATATTTGTAAAAGCTTGTTTAATAAGTAAAACACAAATAACTAAACGCGAACGTTATCAAATTTGTGATTTTAAAATTGGTTTACAAGGAGACATTGAAAGAAAACGAAATTGCAGCGCAAGCCTTAGACCTTTTGTATAGAATTTTATACGTTTTGTTTTAAATATTTAAAACATAAAGAAAGTAAAAACAGGGTAAATAGCGCCAAATTTCAAAATAACGTAAAAAAACTGGGCACATTATAACATGGCTTGCAAATTTGTCCCAATTTTGATCAGCAACTTATGCCTGTCATTCAACAACGTGTCCAAGTCTTTTGCTTCAGACAAGTCCTTGAGGCTGTATAACTTTTCGGTGTTGTAATGTACTTTGGTTAACTCGGTGGTCCCGCAAGTCTTGTTCAGCAGACGATTGATCATCGAGTAGCTTTTCCAGAAACTTACGTTCGCCGTGGTTGCTGATGGAAAAAGACGCAAGTTCCAGAGCGAAATTTTTTTTTCGTTCGCCAATACTTGTTTTTCATCGTAATCAAGAATTCGTATAACGCTGCTCATGTCGCAACCGAAGTACGATATCTTGTTTAACTCATGCGTCGAGAATTTGATGTCGTCGTTGATGTTCAATACACATGTAACGTACATGATAGTATTGTTAACTTTGATTGGCACTGTGTGCATGACGACATTCTCGAATATTTTTATTTTAATATCTGTTTGTAGTATCTGTACTGCAGGATCTAGACGTGTATCGCAGTTGCTCAACAGCACGTCGTTTTCGATCACAATCGGCACATCGATCAGACTCCATTCCAGAACAGCGCGGCGGTCAGAGGCAATATCACACTTCACCGAATCTCCCACGAAGCATCCCATTATAACAAGATTTTTCACGAGATCAGTGTTACAGAATTTCTTTAGGTTGCATTTCATTATATTCTGTAGCCTAAGTTCCTGTTTAAGACTTCTTGAGCTTGTGAGGTTGTCGACATATTCTCTCATGGAGCCCAGGTGATGGAACTTAGATCGCTCCAAAACGATAACTTTCAATGACCGATTTTTCATGATATTCTTCATGTCAACTAAAAACTCATGTGAAGTTTTGCACAGTTGAACGCTTCTTTCACCAGCATCGTTCACAAGACGAGGTCTTTTCGTGAGCTTCGCATCATCTTCGAAGTCAACTTTTTCACCTTCAACCTTTTTATCGAAGTCGCTGACGGATTCAGCATGTTTTCTTACGTTTTCGTTTTTACTGTCTTGGATTCTGTCCCCAAAAGCAGGCAGTAAATGAGCGTATGCGTCAAACTCCTCCTGCAATGGCGTGTGGTCTTCATACCACGACAACAGCGCATCGTACACACGATGGCTCAGCCAAAACACGCTGTCACTGTACACCATTTCTTCAACGGGTCCTCCCACGCTGATCTCTGAACCAAGAAATGTTATTATTTTTCAGTGTAATGATCATTTTTTCATTGTACGAATTTCAGTGTAATGGTTAAATAAACGTCGGACATCAATCCGTTACGTAACGTCTGGGCATGTGGCTTTGAATAGTTCTTATGGAAACAAAATCGAACTTTCATTCATTTCTGAAAATAGTCCCCGCTTGAGGAACAATGTTGCAATTTTCACCTATCAATACGTTTTCTAGGAGCGTCTCAATATCAGATACATTTTAGAGACATCAATCAATGGCAGAACAAATATAAATACCTCGCTTAACGATGGCACCCTTGGCTTGCATAAGCGCTCTACTCGGCTTCTGGAGAACTTCCAATACCGACTGTACTCGTACATCTGCAGCTGAGAGCAGAAACGGTACATAAAATAAACAGAAAGCATTTGACAAAATTATCCTAAGAGATCCTCCTGAGAGTAACAAGGTTCACATGCGAACAAGTACGAAAGAATTCATTTTAATTTCGTAAGACGCGAAAAAGAAACGGATATCAAGTTAAAATATTGTATCAAAGTTGAAAATCGACTGACTATTCAAAAGGGAAAATTACACTATTAATGAATAATTGCCGTATCGATGCAGATGGCACTCGAAAAATGTAGGCATTTCCTAAATTCATGGGATTGATTTTCTGAAAAAAAGATCAATTTTCAAAACGAGTTTCAAGCAAAAAACGAACATTACCACCAAGACAATTATTGATGTTCTACGTACTTGAATCTTCGTGCATCCTACCCATTGATATCCCTATTGAATTTTCTTCTACTAGTTAAAATTTCTTCTGAATTTCAAAATTTAAATTAACTATTATTTCTATAGTAGTTTTATGCACTTACTGGTGGAAGATCTGGTGCATACTATATATATACTCATTGATATCCCTATTGAATTTTCATCTACTAGTTAAAATTTCTTGTGAATATCAAAATATAAATTAGCTAATGTTACTATAATAGTTTTATGCACTTACTGGTAGAAGGTCTGGGGTCAAGCACGTACACGCCATGTCCTTCTCCCGTGCGCACGTCCGACGGATGAGCCAAAGCGATGACGTCACTAGACTGCAACAACTCCATCTCTGTTATTATAACAACCGATTATTGAAAAAATAACGAGTTACTAGACTGCAACAACTCCATCTCTGTTATTATAACAAAACGATTAATTAAAAAATAACGAGTTGAATACTGATGAACGAATGAACAACAACAAAATGATTGTATAAAAAATTAACGAGTTGAATACAGATGAACAAATGAACAATGGATAATAACAGGATGAACCCCCCGGCCAGTCTGCTGAAAATGTTACCCTATAGTTGAGTGATTCAATAACTTCGTGACGTTTCCTTATGAGGTTTGGATTTCAACCTAAGGTTCCTAAAGGACTGATGGAGGTAATATAAACCTTGTGAACTCTATAAGGGAAATGTAAGTAAAGAACTGTATTTGAACGCAATTTATACGGGATACAACATTTCTCCTTGTAACGACACGGAATGTGTTGTCGTGTCGGTGTGTCCGTTAACACATACCATTCCTGATGCTTAACACAGAATGAGATGCTTAACACATTCCTGATGCTTAACACA